TTAGTCTAATTAAAGCTGCTCTGCTAAGCCATCTTACTAATTGCTGGCATCTTCCAGACAGAACATGTACATATGAGTTTTGCACTGCTTCAGTTCTTAGCAGTATTTCTGAAAAAAAACATAGACTGAGATATGCATTGAAGTCTTTTTGTCTGAACAGTCCAGATGATTGTAATCCTCTGAACTCAACATATTAGTTGCATTAAGAAGTTGCACCAGCAAGGGAGCTTTTGTGTGAATATGTATATGTATATTATGAGTCTTATAAACTCTTTCTTATTTTATTTTTTTGCCTTAATCTTCATTTTTGGATTGCTAAGATGCCTCCGTTTCTATATTGACAGCATACATAGCTGTATGAGGCTGTTGCTCACTGCCTCTGCTTTTCTTTACTGTCTTTCAACTGGTGGTGAGGAATTCAGGGAAGCAAGATCTCAGATTATTTTATCTGACACTTGGTAGAGGCTCCATTCTCTTTCCAGACACTGCAGTATCTTTTTCATATATTATTAAGGCATGAATTCTAGCTGAGATAAAATTCTATCTGTGTCTACTGAACCCTTTTTCTGGGTATGAGAGGCATCCTTGGGAAAGTGCGGCTTATCCAATTACTGATCTCACTACAGATCTAATTTTCTTCTCTTTAAGTACTTCTGAATAACGATTGAGGCTAACAGAATTCTTAAAAATAGTCCTTATATAATAGCTTTTAACAAAGAGCTAAAAAAAAAAAGTTGGAAAATAATGAACAGCTTCCCTAAGAGGAAATGCTAAATTAAGTGAAAAGACCAAATCCAAATTGCATAGGCACCATTGTACCAACATGTGTTTTTTTAAGTGTAGTTTGTTATGTTTTTATGAGGTCTTTGCCAGCACATCAAGAACATCAATAAGAAATAAACCACAAAACAAACCTGCTGTAATTGTATAACTCTTATTATTCACAGGAAGATGTGAATTTGCTAGGAGCATTGGAGTTGTTAGGATTTTCTATTGCACAGAAAGAATATAATTGTCCCAAGTCATCGATTTAATCTTTTGTAAGAACAAATTTCTTTTGTAATCTTTTGTAAAGAACACTTTCACTGAGATGAAAATCCATCTAGAGTGATTTAAAGAATTTTTTATGGATGTGTAAAACCGTTACTCAATATTCTCCATGTTGCTGTGTCCTTTGAACTTGTACGTTAAACTTTTTATGTAACGCACGATATACTTGGAATCAATTCATGAAAACATGGATGTTTTTGTAGTTAAAAGTTGCAAAGGTACTTGACACTAAGTATTACATTGCATTTCATTTTGGGCAGTGGCTTTATAAAAGAAGTCCCACTATAACAGATAATGCAGCTGGTAGTTCAAATGTGACTTGTCACGCGTTGCATTGTGAAGCATGGCATTTACTGCTTCACTTGCCATCTTAAGTTAAAAGTGATTTTCTTTGCATTTGGCACAGTTTCGTCATTGCTGGTGTTGGTATTTTTATTTATTTATTTACTTTAGGTTGTGTCTCAAGTAGTCTGTTTACTTCCAAAGGAAAACTGATCAGCACAGGAAAGTCATCTGCTCTGTCCGTGATAGCAGGGAACTGGGCTTGCAGAGATGCAATCCCTTCCAGTCCTGTTCATACAACCTGTTAAGCATCTAATTAAATCAATTATGGTGAAATACTAGTAGTGGCTTATTAAATGGCTAGATGACCAAATCCCTTTCACAAGGGAATAATTGTGTTCACTTGTGAATTGTGTTTATTCTCTTTCGTAATAGATTCAATCTGCAGCTATCAAAATTAGAAGTTGTGTATTGCGTAGTGGCTTTCCTTACTCATATAGCTTCCTCTATGAGGAGGAAACAGGCTCTTATCCATATGGTATTTGTACAATTTTTTTGCATATAGTATTGTGTGTAGTTGCATGTAGGGGGGAACACTTAGCCTTCCTTTTCCCTTGCTTCTTCTTTCTCCTCCTCTGTCTTGGATGACTTAGTAAGGACCAATGGAAATAGAACATTATTTATAAGTAATATTTGAGCAGTATGCTTACAGGGGACATGAAGTAACTACTGACATCTTTTCATTATACAGTATTAATAAATGATGGATTTCATGTTTAGTTAATTGACCATCAGCACTGTGACACTGTGCAATCAGTCTGTTTTAAGTATAGTAATTTGCAAATGACTGTATATCTATTATCTTAAAAAGCTCAAAAGATACCTCTTTATATATGAGAAATTGTTCTCAAGTGCCTCAGAGCATCTTGGAGTCTGCCCAAAACGGTCATGAAAGTGGTGGCACGACTTGTAGTACTGATAATGTGAAGCTTATATTGCACATGGCTTCTGTGCATAATTTTCAGACATAAACAAGTAGGTATTTGGCCTTTATTTTTATTGTATTGAAATGTTTTATAGTTCAGTTGCTTTCCTGCAGTCTTCCTTCTGGAAAACAAATGGGCCCCATGATGTAGGGGGCAATATGTGATCCAGAGAGGAAAACTCTGTAATTCCTGTTGTGGTTCTGGCCTGCCCCTGGCTGCAGTGCGCTCTTCTTGAATCGCTTTGTGGTAGCACGGGCAGCACGTAGCTGTCCTGGAGCCAAGCAGGCAGCAACAGGGCTCAGGAGTGGGAATGGGGCTGGGGCTGCCACGGGACAGGCAGTAAGGAGAAAGGGGGCAGGCAGTTGTCAAAGTAATATAGATGCACTTGGTTTCATTGAAACCAGTCTGCAGGCTGTTTGAGACAAAAGCTGGGTCTGTAACAGGCAAAAACAGACTTTCACCCTGCCAGTGAAATCTGCTTTTCGGATCCTTTCTTTCCACCTACTCAACGTTTATGGTAGGAAAATGTAATAAATCCAGAATTATGAATGCAGGAAAGATAATTCACTTTAAAATATGGGAGGTTGGCTTCTTCATGTTAACTCCAGCAACTTCATAGATTTTTTGACTTTCTCTCTGACTCCTTGTATTCCGTCCCAGTGCCTTACTTACTTAGGGAACAATTGGGAAATAGTTCCCTATTTCTCTCACTTGCATTCGCAAGTTCCATTTGTTTTCTGTGGCTATTTTTTCCTGTTTTCTGTCCACCATGGTGTCCTTTATGTTGTGTCTCTCTTTTGGCTCATCTTGGTGATCAGTCACTAACTATTTTATTTTCTGAGGGTCTATCTGTTTTCCCTCATCCTCAAGCCAACTTGAGGTAGACAGAATGAGGAAATGGAGTGTAACCATTTAAATGTACATATTTCTTTTTTGTCATTTCAGCTTGAAACCCTTTTTCATGTTTTCTTTGAACCCCCAACATTAGAGACATCTGAGAAGGAAAGCTTTGCCTAAAAAGATGAACTTTTATGTTTCTCAGGAAAAGTGAAACCTTTATCTGCTTCCAAGGAAAACTAAGTTGAGAAATGGAAACGGAATAGTCTTGAGGAAGGACTATGACAAAGATGGGGAAATAGATGAGGGGAAAACACAGCTTCTCAAGATCTACAGTTTGAGTCAATGAGTCAGGATGTGCTTTGGGATGTGTTTCAGCCTTGGTGGCTGTGGTGGAGCACAAACAAATGCCTGCAGTCCAGGAGTGTCGCGCTGCCTTCGAGGTGGGACCTGCTGCAGAGCGCGCTGCAGTTGTCCAGGGCCTGGGGCAACTTACAGCCTTGCAAAAATGCTGTCATTTGGTGTTGGATTTTGCAGTGAGTTTTGGATAAAGCAGGAAGGTATTTCTCTGTGCGGGTTGTCATTTAGGTTGAGCTGTGTTTCCCCTCTTAAGGTTTTGTTATACATTATAGGGCGATTCGCTTCGCCAGCGCATTCTGTGCAGCGCTGCCCTTGGCCAGGCAGGTTTCGGGCTGTTGGGAGCCACCTAAAGCGCGGACCAGCAGGGGCTGCTGTAGGAGTAGGAGATGCCGGAGATTTGCCGCCTCCCTTTTGGAGCAGCCCTGGGTGCGGGTTCATCCCTGCGCCCTCCGGCAGTGCCCGGGCTTCCCGGCCGCTTCCCAGCACCGGGCTGGCGTCTGTCCCTCTCCGCTTGGTGTGCTTTGGATGTTCTTGAACTAAATAGCTATGTTGCATCACTGCAGTATCAAAATTAACTTCATAATTCATATTTTGGCTCAGTACACTTTTTTTTTATATCTATGGTTTTTATGCAGTTGGACAATGGCACTTGTACTACTTATTTCCAGATGCCCTTAGATGATTGTTTTAGTATCATTTGTCACTCAGAAACTTACTGGTTTCCATCAGGACTGGGATGTAATTGAATTGGGAATGATTAGTTACATCCTTTTGATTGAATGTTGTTTTTTCCCTTAATTCCTCTGAAATCACCATTAGCTCTTTTGGCTGCAGTTCTGCATTCTGTTGAGGCAGAGCTACATTGTAAATCAATATCTTTTCAAAAAGACTGCTGTAAATTGCCTAGATAGCAGATGCACGGTTACTTTGGCTGCAATGCTGCTGCAGAGCCTGGATAGTCTGCCTTTCTGGGAACTCCACAGGCAAGTCCATCATATATTTTAAAATATACATGTGTATATCTTTTTAGAAAGAGCGTGGTGTTGCTGGTGAAATTTAGACAGAGAAATATTATACCCATGGTGCTCATCTGTACCTTTTATATTCCACTCCACTGGGATTATCCTGTCTTTAGGGATTTCTTTGTTTTCTGCTTTAGATTTCCCCCTTTCTTAGCTGTAGTACAGCCGTACCATTTCAGCTTGCTAGTGCAGAAAGATGTTGTGAATTCAGTTGCTGAATGAGCCCGGCCTGACTGCAAACACTATTGCTAGAGACATGTCAAAGAGTTGCCGGTGAATCTGACCTGATCAAGGCAACAGCAAAACGGTAAGATGGGGCTTGTTTAAATGTCTGGGATTAATTAAGTGCTGGGCTTTCCTGTTTAAACCTGAACCGCAGTTATCACATGCTTCCAACTTGAGCAGGATTCATTCTGTGCATGTCAGGGTGGGTTTTCTCTGGAATGCTTAAAATCCAGGCAGATGAAGGTGGTGGTTAGCTGGGAATGCCACATGAGACCTCGCGGCTTCCAGCCTTCCGAGACTCCCCGAAAACACTGGCTTCGGCTTGGAAATATCAGTGAAAAGGTAGGGGAAGGTTGGCAGGAAATATTTTCCTGATTAGGGCTTTGTATTTCTTTCTCGAGCAGCCTTATTTATTATCGTATAAGGAGGGTACTAGGAGCAATTTTTCCGATGCATGCTTGGCTGAATGCCCTCTGGGACGAGTGAGTGAAGGACGTGATCAGCCACTTTTTCATCTCTGCTAACAAGTCTGTGCATCTTGCTAGATCTGAATAAATGTTTTTATTCATTGCGTATTCGCTTGCTGTAGGAAGATAAAATGATCCTTTATGAAATGCATATTCTCTGATGGAGGTCAGAATATTTTCCTTATTAACCTCTGTGATTATTTTATTTCTTTTACATGTTGTCTTTATTTTTAAAAAAATAACAGGGTAATAATTTTAAGCTGTTGTTCTTGAATGCTTGTACAGAAGTGTGTAGGTAGCATTTTAGATCTTAGTGGAATATTTCAGCATATATGAAAGCTTAGGACAGCAGCATGCCCATGAAAAAAGAGCAAGAGAAAAGCAGCAGTTATGATTGTACAAGATAGAAGGATTAAAATGTGGCTGTTGTATGAAATAATGTGAAATATTTTTATTGATCTAACTGACAGTTAGTGCATTTCAGTTGTACATCAAGCCGTAGATTCATTTCAACAGAAACCTAGTGGAACTGAAGGGGGGAAAATCTATTTCAGCATATGTTCTAGCTTTTAAAGGAAACCAGCTGTGGTAGTAATTCAATGAAATATGTTTTTTGCTAGTACTAGATAAGGGTAAAAGCAGACATTATTCATTCTAGGACAGCATGTTTATATTTTATGCAAGATATGAATTATAATCCAAGAAGAAATTAGTTGTATATCAATATGGGATCAAGGAATTAGGTTGACAGCAATTTATATATTTTCTTTCTGTACTTGACAGCTGAGTTTGTTTTCTTAGTCATTAAAGGGAGAAAATTCAGTCCTACCTCGACCGTTCTCTGAATTTTTTTATTATTATTTTATTGGAACTACTTATTGTTTAGAAAGCATATTCTTTTCTATACTCATGGCACTGTATACTGGAATGTAAGTTATGTGAAGTAGGCTGCTTCATATTGCAAAACTTGATTCTCATAGTTTTACCCCAGAAAGTACTTTTTTTTTTTTTTTTTTAAACGCAAGTATAGCCTCAGCTGTTTCTATTACAATAATTACATCAGCGGCAGTCTGTTTTTGGTGGAGGATTTCCTTTGCTTATATTGTTGTGCCTATTCTTAATACATTGCAAACCTTCAATGCATTTGTCATTGTTTAAAACATTGAGGTAATCCAACCATTTGTGGTTGCATTTACATTGTATGAGGAATGAAAGTCCAGAAACTCATACATGCAGGAGACTTTTAAAGCAATTTTAAAAATACTGTATTTACTTGTGATATTTTTGTCATCTACATATATATGTGAGTGTTGTCACTTCTGTCAGCTTCCTTAAAGTGTTTTTTCCCCCAAATCTAAAACCGTCAGTTCATTCATTGCGTTCATTTTATGTACATTTTATTTGTTTAAGCATAAGAAATCAATAATGCTTTGGAACTTTTTCTGTGGATAAAATTTAATAATATTTTTATGCTATAATTAGTTAACCAGTGATTCCAAATTAATTAGGGAATAATTATGTATAATGTGCAGAACTTTGCCAAAAGTTAAGAATGCTGCTGGGAAACAGAAGAAATATGTCATTTAATAGGCAGCCAGTTAGCTGAATACTCTTATGATCATGGTCTTCAGTATGTGGATCAGTTTTGTGGTGAGGTAACTTTTGTCACAGAAGGGGATAAGAAATTACCCTAGGCATGAATGTGTGTGAGACGCTCCTTGATGTCTCTGGCTGCAGATAGGAAGAACTTCAAAAAGTTAGAGCTGAGGAAATTGAAAGCAGTTAATGTTGTATCTCACTGCCCAGGAAGTCAGCTAGCCTTTGGGAGTCTTAAAAATCATAAAGAGATAGTCAGATGACCGTTCCTTCCATCCGTTTGGCTGTGTAAATGTTAAACCAAAGCGAAACAAAACCACTAGGTTTTATCACTTATTTTTTCCTACAGCTGCAGGCTTGGATGGGCTGTTGAAAAGGTTGCCCTGCCAGTTACTTCCCACACAAATAGGTATTTTCTCTCTGGCAGGCAATTCTAGTGGCTTGGAGAGACCCTGTGGGCAAGCAAATTGATAGTACTATTAAAAGCGTTTGTGATTACCCTGCCGTGCAAATATCCATAGTCAATCACCGCTTGCAGTTGGCTTAGGCAGTGCCAGAAGGAATCACAGGGCTCCAGCAGTTCTCTTCCCCTGCTGGTGAGAGGCCTTGAGAGGAGGGTGAGCCCCTGCGTGGGGAGGCTGAGGGCAGTGTGAGCAGGTAGGGACGGGTGTGTGGGACTGGGGTCCCCCCGAAAGAGGGGGGGAGCTGCAGAGCCACCCGCTCGGTCACAGGGCTGGTCCCCCTGATTTCCCTTTGGAGAAGTCTTTGCAAGGCAAAAATACGTGGCTGTCAGGCAGGCCTGTGTCTGCTTTGTGAGTTTGGTTTGATATTGCCAGTATTGGAATTTCCACCAAGTACTTCTCTTCCTAAAATGTTTCAGGTGCTCTTGCAATGATAACTGTATCTTACAGAACATACTGATATGAAGGAGAGTATCCTGGCAAGTCTGCATTGAAACAGTGGAAACACTGAGATACCAGGGAGCTCCACAGCCTGTTTCTGAACTGAAAGAAAACCTAGTTGCTGCCCTTAAATCAAGAGGCAAAGGTTAAACGTTCTGTTTTCTGAGCTTGAATTTCCTTAGGTAGGTCCAGATTGGCTTCTGGCATCTTTGGCAGGTTTTTCTTTTGACACAGAGGCAGGAAGGTGGATGAAGGGAGAGCTGCTGGGTTAAGTAATAGATTCTTGAGGACTTTTATTTTCCTGCTCTCACAACATTAATGTCAGAGCAGCTTCTCCCTTACAGCAGCAGCTCCATCTGTCATGACAAGCGTCCTTCACATACGTGACTTCCGTGGGTTGGTACGGGTCTGGGGGTGTTTGTTGTGTCCTGTCAAAACTACTGGTCATGTGCATCTCTTTCAAGCATGGCATTTTTTCCTTGACATTTTCCATGTTATTCCCTAATAAAGGCATAGGTATACTTTATACTGTATTTAGCCAGTAGTGAAAAGAATAGTTTAACTAATGTATTTACTACATCTTGAATTCAGAGGATGGTTTTTGTATTGTAAGATCTTTGTATCAACAGCATAAACAGATCATTTAGTCTTTATAAAGGATGTGGTTGGGCATTTTCTTCTTTTGCTAGAGCCTTGAAGTAGTATGGTGATTTTATTCTTTTGTATATCATGTTTTTGTGTAGATGAACTTTCTCTGAAGTTCTTGTGTCAATTCAGGGCTGGCCTAGAAGCAGACATTTTTACCTCTTCATTGGCTTTCTCTGTGTTGGTGCGCTGGTTAGAAATGATGTGGAAATTATGGGGTTTTGTTTTATTTTGCAAATATTTCAAATTTGTGGAGAGAATTTGCCTAACTTTATGCTATGGTAGAACTTGCTGTTTTATCCCAGTGGCTGTGAGAGCCATTGCTGCTTCTGGCTGGGAAAAAAGGTGTGATAAAGTTAAGCTGGGTTTTATAGAAGTTTAAAGTAAGCTGAACTAGTAACAAATATCAAATCAGCAAGCTTTTAAACCATTCTGTATTATTCCATCCTAAAAAATTGGTAGGATTTTATATTGGTTACTTTTCAATTCCGCTGTGCAGAACGTTTGTAATTCCATTAAATGTTATACAACTTACCTGAAGGGGAAAGTACCCAATGTTGCCAATTGAGCAGTAAGTGAACAAAACCAGTAGAAATAAGCATAATGCCTGTTTATGTATTATGAAAGCTCAGCTTCATTTAATTAATTTCTGATGCTACTTATTCTACTGGCTTAGTATGTTTTAATATGAGCTGTCCCAACCCATTAAATCTTTGTGTAGTGCAAAGAAAAAAAAATATAGCTTGTCCAGACTTGCCTGCAATTTTGTTTTAATGAACAAGTATGTTCTGTTGATGACTATCGAGTATAGAAATGTCATTTTTAATCTTATGAACAAGAGATGCCTTGGAAGGGGTAGTGGTGGGGGACGGCAGGTTTTGCTGCTGCTGGGGAAGTAGAGGAGCCGTCACTCAAAACGTTGAGGTTGGTGAGGAATTCCCTGTATTTGGCAAAGTAGTTCAGATACTTAGGAAGATATAATTACAAAATGCAGTTATGCTGCCAGGAGAGGCATAGCCTTGTGGGAAAAAACATACAAAATACCTGCTGTCTGTCTCAGTTTTGTGAAACATTTTAAGCAGAAACTTAATGTAAGGAAAGGATGGAGGACTTGGACTTCTTATCGATGTTTTAATTTTAACTTTAGACATGTTTTTTGATCAGTTTGGGTCTTGAAAGTACTTGCTTGTTGAAAGCAGGTATTTGCTCAAAATGAGCTCACATCTTTGGAGGCTCAGGTTGCCACCAGCTCCAGAAGGTTCTCCTTTTTGCTAGTGCTACAAGGTTTTCCTTAGAATTGATTTGAGTGAAGTCATAAATCTACTGCAGCACGTGTTTCCCCATGAACACATTAAAAGTAGCAGCAGTGATTGTAAGTTTTCTGTTGAAATGCCTTATTTTTTGAAGATTGAGCATTACCACTGTGCCAGTCAGAGAAATTGTCTTATAAAATCACAGTTGTCCTTGGTAACATTGAGCTCTTCTCACTGTCATCTTGAAACTTTTCTTTTTAGATTTGGTAAATGTTTACCATAAAAGATTAACCATAATGTTCCTTCTTTTGAATAGTTTGGGATGCTACAATTCTTATTGCAGTCCTGACAGAATCCATAGCTATGGGACATAGTAAGTTTGCAGTGATTTCAGCCATTTTCCAGTGTAGGATATTATATACAGAGGCCAGTTATTTAATGCTTTCTTACACCTTTTTGCTTGGAAACTCTCTTATGCT